CCCTTTCGGCGCTCAGCCTGGTTGTTAGGCCGACTGTCACCCCTCCTTGCCTGAATAAAGGTAACCTACTTCTGTTGAGGTCGTCTTTCCTTTTCTGCCTCGCTGGAACTATGCCTTACAAGTTTCCCAAACCCCATGAATGGTGTGCCTTCCTCTCTCTCCTTGTGACAGCTGACCTGTGATCACACTGTTGATACTTTCCCCCTCATCTGGATTTTTGTTGTTAGCACCTCATTCTCCACAATCCAGGGGTCTTCCTCCTTGTATGGAGATAACGTTCAAATCAGAAACAGAAACTCCTACTCACATAATGCCACATGATGTGGCTTCTTCTAGAATACAACCTCTCTTTTTTCTAAATAAATGTATCTACTATTCTTAATACATTGGTGTATTCATTTCTTTTGGCTCGGGGGAGTGTTCGTTGCTGCTTGGTCTTCTCTCCAAGTTCAGCAAGTAGAGGCTATAACGTAAATTAAATTAGATCTGGGTCATAACATGTGGATAGAAAAAGTAACGCTAAGGAAAAACTATTGAAATATACAAAAGAAATAGGATGGCAGTATTTAAGAGATTAACACTGAAACATATATATTACCATATGTAAAAGAGCCAGTGGGAGTTTAATGTGTGAGCAAGTGCTCTGTGACAATCTGGAGGGATACAGTGACAAGAGAGGTGGGTTCAGGAAGGAAGGGATGTATGTACGCCTATGGCCTATTCAAGATGTACAGCAAAAACCATCACAATAGTGTAAAAAAAAAAAAAATTTACTGATGGTGACTTAGGGCTGAACACAGAATCAAAGCTTTCCCACACTTAACACATTTGTGTAGTTTTCCTTCAGGCTGAATTTTCTGAGGGTCAAAAGGTTGATGTATTTTACTGCATTCTCTACATGTGTAAGTTTTCACTGCAGTATGGATTCTCAGATGATCTGCAACATCATTCCTTGTGACTGAAGGGTTTGCCACATAAATAACATGTATGTGGTTCCTCTCCTCTATGAAATGCCTAATGGGCAGTTCATGCTGAACATGCACTAGAAACTCTGCCACATTCATTTCACTTGAATGTTTTCTATATAATATGAACTCTTAATTATAAGGCCTGAACACTGATTAAAGGCTTTGCACCACTCACGACATTTGCACTAAAATGTTTCTCACAGAGTAACAGTAAATACGTACTTACTGGGGCTCCAGGACAGGCACTTTTGCGGTTTATGCAGGTTCCCAGTCCATCCAGCCCCTGGACTGCTTCCTTCTTCGAAGCAGAATAGAAGGCATGCAGATTTTTCTTGGGGACTGGGCAGTTTTTCTCCCGGCCTCTCTCACCTTGCCTTCTATATTAATGCTGACTTTGAAAACAAGATTTTGTGAAGCAGGATTTCTGTTCCCAAAGTAAGAGCTAAGACAAGAAAGGAGGAGGTCAGAGGGGCAAGTAGGTGTTGATCGCTTCAAGATTCAGATGGAAGTCTAGTTCTCACTGACCAGCTCCGGGTGTGATACTAGAGAGCTGAACTTCTTCAGGCCTCGTCCCTTGTACTAAACCATATATTTAGAGAGGAGACTTCACTTCTTACCAGAACATTCCATTGATGTAAGGGCTTTATATAGAAAGGCTTTCACTTTTGGGTTCCTTCAGTTTAAAGGATGACTTTTTATGAGCCACTCTTTGTTTTTCTCCCTTAATGTAGATAACACTATAAGTGTACATATAATTCCTAAAACAGTAGAAGTGAGTTCATTTTGAAGACTGTGAAAAGATTGAATTTCATGCACTACTCATTATATCAGTTTATTCCAATATGTTCACGTTCATACCAGGATGAAAAGAAAACCAAACCTCTATGTAAAAGGTAAGCACATTTATAAGACAAAAATGTTGTATTTCTTCACTGCAGACTTATTATAAATACCTTATAGAACCGAGTCTTAACCTGTTTTGATTTTTCTGTTCCCTGAAAGTTATGCAGTTGTTGAAGCTTCTAACCAAGGAAGAACTTGAAGGACTGGGAGATTTGGTCCCCTTGTCTCCAGGCTGTGACTATAAGTTCCCTCCCTCCATCCCCTTAGGTATTGTTAAATGTAGCAAAGGGATTTTTAGCTTTCATAACCCAAATGAAGAAAGTGGATTTTGTTTTTGTTTGCTTGTGGATTTGTGTAATCATTGATGGCTAAGTTTGGCTGATTGTGATATAAAGAACGGCTTCTGTTTTCTGTATTTATTCATACACAAGAAATAGTGTTTATTATTATATAGAGACTATAAAAGTTTTCATAAGCCTTTATATTTTGAACTCTTTATTTAAACATTGTTGGAAAATGTGGCATAAATCTTGTCATTATTTAATAAACTGTAGTAATATATACTAACAAAAAAAATTTTTAAAAAATAAAATGTTTCTCGCAACTGTCACATTTCTAATGTTNCCCTTGCTATCCCACAGTTTAAAAAAGCTCCCTCCGATTGCTCTCAGGGTCTTCGGGCCGGTCCTTACCCTAAGCAATGCCGCCCGCTCCTCTCCGTTCCGCCCCGCTTGTTGCTGGCGGGTGCGGGCGTCTGGGGTACTTTTCTGCTGGGAGTTGCTTTTAGGCACGTAATCTGTGGGCCTTATTTAATTTTTCCTCCCAGTTAGATTGCCAAAAACTTCCCCCAGTCCCGCTAGTGCGAGGGTTTCCTGGTGATTGGAAACTTCCTCTATTAAGACTCCCTTCCCGGGACGGGTCGCCGTCCGTAGCTCTTTTGTCTCCCTTTTTATCTTTTATATTTTCTCCTACCTCCCTTTGAAGACAATGGGCTGCTTTTCTGGGCGCCTGCTGTCCTCTGCTAGCGATCTGAAGTTGTTTTGTGAAATTTGCTCAGCGTTCAAATGTTCTTTCGATGAATTTGTAGGGGGGAAGGTGGTCTCCCCGTCCTATTCCTCCGCCATCTTGGCTCCTCCCCCTCTCCCATGGATTCTAAGTCCATCAGTTCAAGTAAAGCACCGGCCATATACATCATATTTATATGGTTTCTCTCCTGTCTGAACTGATGAGTTATGGATGACTGTACCTAAATGGTTTGTCACAATTCTTATATTTCTAAGGTTCTCTCCAGTATGACTTGTCTGATGAACTGCTAAGTTTGCATTCACACTGAAAGCCCTGCCACATACACCTCATTTATATGGTTTCTCTCCCGTGTGAACTCTCTGATGAACACCAAGGTTACCAGCACAAGCAAATGCCTTGCCACATACATCACATTTATGTGGTTTCTCTCCAGTATGAGCTCTTCGATGAACAGCAAGGTGTCCAGTACTAGTAAATGTCTTGCCACACACATCACATTTATATGGCTTCTCTATAGTGTGAATTCTCTGATGAACTGCAAGGTTTGAAGTTTCACTAAAGCCTTTGCCACATACATCGCATTGATATGGTTTCTCTCCCGTATGTGTTCTCTGATGAACTTTAAGTTGTGAGTTTTGAGTAAAGCATCGGTCACATACATCACATTTATATGGTGTCTCTCTAGTGTGAATTCTCCAATGAACTGCAAGGTGTGCAGTTTGACTAAAGGCTCTGCCACATGTATCACATTTATGTGGTTTCTCTCCCGTATGGGATCTGTGATGAGCTGCAACTAAAGGCTCTGCCACATGTATCACATTTATGTGGTTTCTCTCCCATATGGGATCTGTGATGAACTGCAACCTTTGCAGCTTCATTAAAGGCCTTGCCACATACATCACATTTATATGGTTTCTCTCCAGTATGTACTCTCAAATGAACAGCAAGGTGTGAATTTACTCTAAAAGTCCTGCCACACACATCACATTTATATGGTTTCACTCCAGTGTGAAGTCTCTGATGAACAGTAAGGCTTCCAGTATGACTAAACACCTTGTCACATATATTGCATTTGTATGGCTTCTCTCCAGTGTGAATTCTCTGATGAAGTGCAAGTTTTGAATTCTGACTAAAAGCCTTCCCACATACATCACATTTATATGGTTTCTCTCCAGTATGAATATTCTGATGAACTGCAAGGTTTCCAATTTGAATAAAAGCCTTGCCGCACACATCGCATTTATATGGTTTTCCTCCTGTATGGATTCTTTGATGTCCAGTGAGTTCTGAGTCCTGAATAAAGGTTATGTCACACTGAGTACATTTGTAAGGTCTTTTCTTTTGTGTCTCATGGTCTGGTAACAGTTCTGAAGGATGTAAAACAGTATCCTCATGTTTATGAGAAAAGGCTTCGCAAACACTACAAGTTCTCTGAGGTGGTAAACCTGAGGCGCTGACTTGACTACATTCAAAAATTATCCCTTCAGATTGTACCATCTGCAATTCATCCTGAAAGCTTGATCCGTGCCTTTCAGATGGTCTATTTCCTGCATCACTTCTCCTATGATGATCTCTTCCATCAGTGAGGTTTTTGTAATGGGATGTAGACATTCCTTTGTCATTTCTTTCATCATCTGTCCACAGACAATCAAAGTCATGTATATTTTCCTGGATCTCCCTGAGGCGAAAATCTTTGATGTCAAGGCTTTCAGCTCTTCCAAACATCACTCTTTGAAAAATTTCCCCTTTGCCACTGCTTGCTTTTGCCTGTAATTTCTTGATCTTTTGTATATGAGACATATCTTTTGGGACCTCTTTTCTTTGAGTCCACTTTCCGTGAACCTCTCTCTTTTCCACAGCCAGCAGGTTCCTGAGAGTCTCCACCATCACGTCCTTGTACAAGGTCCTCTGGGCAGGGTCCAGGCATTCCCACTCCTCGGGAGTGAAGTCTATGAACACATCCTTGAAGGTCAATTGTGCCTGTTTACTCATGCTAGACTCTTTTCAAACCCGCTGATGGCAGCCCACCAATTCCTCTATCCATGGAATTCTCCAGGCAAGAATACTGCAGTGGGTTCCCATTCTCTTCTTTCATGTTACTTCTTCATTCAGTAACTTTGTCAACATTCTATTTCTTTTTTAAAGTTATTTATTTAGGTTATAATGGGTCTTCATTGTTGTGAGTGGGCTTTCGCTAGTTGCAGCTGCAGTGCACCGGCTTCTCAGTGCAGTGGCTTCTCCTGTTTGGAGCACAGGCTCTAGAGAGTGTGAGCTTCTGCAGTTATGGCTCCCAGGCTCTAGGGCACAGGCTCAGTAGTTGTGGCCCATGGGCTTAATTGCTCTGAGGCATCTTCCCGGACCTGGGATGGAACCCATGTACCCTACATTGGCAGGCACCATCTTAGCCACTGTACCACCAAGCGAGTCCTCATCATTACCTTATTCTGAGAAAGAGCCATGCCTGACTCCTGTTCTTTCCTCTTCTGGGCTTCTTCGTCCATGAGCCTTCACAGTTCATGAGGAACAGACAGTCTTCTGTGTCCACTGTCTCAGGAGGGACTCTGGACAGTCAACTCCCGCTCAGAGACCAACACGGGACTTTCCCACACTTTCCTTGGATCACACTCCCTTCCTGGTGAGGCTTCATGCACACAGCGGCAGTGGGCACCTCCACTCACCCCAAGATCCCCTTCAGGTCACACAGCAGGCCCTGGTCCAGCCTCACTCAGAACAGAGCGCCCTCCCCTCTCCCAGGGCCTGATGTCAGTCTCAGAAGTGGCGGCTAAGAGCCCTGGAGCTCAATGCAGGATCCAGATCGGAATCATCTGCGGCTCTGTGCACATTCCTGGGGCCAGGCCCCACACGAGATCCTGACGAGCATGTCATAATATTCTCTTCATTCATCCAAGTTGTCCCAAGTGAGACAAATCTCCATAATTCTTTACAAGAACATTGCTATTGAACCAACAAATCTTAATCCCAAGCTACAAAACTTTAACTCTCCGGAGATCCTGCTTTTCTCTGAATTTCTCTCCTTTCCCCACCCACTCCCTACAAGGCTCATTCTCTTTCATGAAGCTGTCTCTTCTAAGTACCTCACAATCCTCTTCACTGCCATCCCTTGTCCCACGTGCTTGTGTCAATTTTCCATTTCTCTAGGAGTCACTCTCTCTGCTTCTCCTGATGCCGCCTTCTACCCACTATTTGCAGGGTAGGAGACTGAATAAGAAAGGCCCTCCCGCAAGAGCCAAATTGCAGCGGCTGGTATTTGGGGCCGAAGAACCAAGGCTGTCACGTGGCTGCCTTAGGTCACCTCCCGCCAGCAGGGATCAGGGGAAAAGTTACTCTGAAGGGCAGAAGGACTGGACTGAGGAGATGTGAGGACAAAGAGGTAGGGAAGGAGAGGGTCTCAGGAGCGGGGCGGGCTCTCCAGAATCCCAGGACCGCGGAGAGAACACGGCCTCTCGGGGAGCGGGGCGGCCAGCGAGGCCTCCAGGGCCCGAGGAGTAGAGGCTGAAGAACGTGCAGCGAATAAACCACTTCGCCTAATAGAATTGTATGTGGCGCAGAAAAGGTAGAGTAGTCAGTGAGGTCATTTAACGGTTTTAAACCGGGGAAAGGTGCGAAACGCAACGTTTCAGCGTTCCAAAAGCGGGAACCGGCCTCAGTGCGGACTTGAAAGCAAAAGGCAGGCGCCCCTTTGCAGCTTATGGAGACGTCTGAATTTGCTGGGGGCGGTGGGGCGGGAGCGGGGATTCAGAGTCAGTAGAGACCCTCAGACCCGGGATACAAAGAAAAGGAGAGAACTCATTCATTTTTGTTTTCTGTTTATGCTCTAAAGGTTTTCCAACAAACATGGTGCTGACTCATGGCCTCCGTCAGATGGTGAAGTCGATTTTGAAACCAAGGTGAAGTGCACTCTTGTGAAATTAGTTTCTGTACTCTGAATTTAGCTTCATGTAGTATTTACTCTTAAATTCAGCAATGGTGTCCCTCTCATTGTTTTATGTTTATAATGGAACGTTCTTCAGAGCAAACTATTTTATAGAAATATGACTGGTTGGTTTTTTTTTTATTTTAAACTTCGGGAAAAAAGAAAAGGGGGTGAAAAAAAAAAAGGGCCGGAAAAAAAAAGGAAAAGAAAAATGGAATGGAAAAACCTTTCCAAAATGAAGGAACTATGAATTTTGGTCAAGGATAAAGACTCTTACTGTGAATTTTAAACCATAAGGACATGACTCTTGCAACACTCACAATGCAATACTCAGACAATCACGAATCTGCCTACAATGCCGGAGACCTGGGTTCGATCCCTGGGTTGGGAATATCCCCTGGAGAACAGCTACCCACTCCAGTGTTCTGGCTTGGAGAATTCCATGGACCGTAGAGTCCATGGAGTTGCAAAGATTCGGACACGACTGATCGACTTTCACTTCATGGAAGCAGAGACTTTTAATAACCGTAAGATAAAACTTGCAACTTGGGATTTTTTTTTTCTATTGTAGTTTTAAAAACACCTACCCCATGTCCTGTGTCACATTCTAAAACTTCAGATTTCAGACATTTTGTATTATTGTGATTTAAGTATTCATCTTATAGCCCCGTATCAGTGTAAGCTAGTGGAGTTCAAGAAATAATTGTGCATCTCCTGGAGCATGTAGCATAGGTCTCAAGTGTAAGAACCATGTTAATAGTTTTTGAATGTGAATAAATGAAGAGACAAACGATATCCTATGTAATGTTACAGGTAATATAGTTCAGTGGCATTATGTTGAGGAAAGAGGTCCTGCAGAACAAGGAAATAAATAAGAAATACATGAAAAGTAAAAGGTTACAGTATTTTTTTCAGTGTCCACCCACTGTGAGATGAGAATTTTAGGTTAAAATTTTTGACTTTTTCGCCCCATCTTGTGTTGCATTAAATGTTTCTTTTCAAGCCATACATTCTCCCCAGAATTTTGATTACCAGTTCTTTTTCCCAGTGAATAGTTAGGAATATTTCTTAATCAATTTTTCTCTCTCTCAAGTAATACTTTACAACATTCAGGTAGTGATAGATGACCATGTGTGGCTAATCAGATGACACTTTTTATAGTGGCAAAATTCAACTCTAATACGGTAGTATTTATAAACAAAAAGTTTTGGAGTAATACAGATCGCTATATTAGGGATATATTATGAACAAAAGCCTCTGTCTTAAGTATATGTTTTGTAGACAACGTATGTTGATATTTTCATAAAATTTGCAGAACAGTATAGATGCGTAATTTATATATTAATAAAAGCATATAAAACAGAGGCTTTGTTCATAGTATACCCTTAAGAATACTGATGTATTACTGATCTGTTGTATATACATTTTAAATGTACGTGTATTTCCACAAGCCTTGTTATGCTTATTTTATTCCCTTAAGTTTGTACTTGACTAGGAATGTCTCTCTCTGCTTTCTTTTCCTCCCCCACCTGTTTTGCTTTTTTTTACTGTTAACCTAATTTTTCCTTGCAGAATACTTTCCTTCAGTGTCTATTCTTTAAGTCCATCTCTCTCTGCCTCTGTTGTGAACATGTTTGATCATGGCTTTCTGTTTAGTGTGTTTGTGGCTTCCATTCATGATCGTTTCCCTACAGGTTTACTCTTACTCTTTCTCCCTTTTTCTTTGAAGGAGCCGAATTGAAACAATCATTTGTCTTTAGCTGTTTAACAAACAGAATAGAAGTAGCTTCTCCTGTTTGCACTTGTAACCTATCTAAATAAGGTTCTACTAAAATCTAAATTTTCATATTTCCCTTCCCAAGTGATAATTCATGCATGTAGAAGTCATGCAAGCAAATTTCAGAATATAGCGATTAATTTAAATGTCGTAGTTTTTCAGTAGTGCTCTAAACTACCAGGGATAAATTTTTTTTTTCTAGAACATTTTGGTCGAGAAAATAATCTAGTGGGTGTCATAGTATTTGTAGAGCAGTCAATTGGGGTAAGGAGAGGAACATCTGGGGTTTTTGATGTCATCTGTCATAATGCTTACCCCATGAGAAGGTTCTGTTCAGTCGCTCAGTTGCATCTGACTCTTTGCGACCCCATGAATCGCAGCATGCCAGGCCTCCCTGTCCATCACCAACTCCCGGAGTCTACTCAAACTCACGTCCATCGAGTCAGTGATGCCATCCAGCCATTTCATCTTCTGTCGTCCCCTTCTACTCCTGCCCCCAATCCTTCCCAGCATCAGGGTGTTTTCCAGTGAGTCAACTCTTCGCAAGAGGTGGCCAAAGTATTGGAGTTTCAGCTTCAGCATCAGTCCTTCCAATGAAAACCCAGGACTGATCTCCTTTAGGATGGACTGGTTGGATCTCTTTGCAGTCCAAGGGACTCTCAAGAGTCTTCTCCAACACCACAGGTCAAAAGCATCAATTCTTCTGCACTCAGCTTTCTTTATAGACCAACTCTCACATCCTTACATGACTACTGGAAAAACCCTAGCCTTGACTAGATGGACCTTTGTTGACAAAGTAATGTCTCTGCTTTTTAATATGCTGTCTAGGTTGGTCATAACTTTTCTTCCAAGGAGTAAG